AAAAAAAAAAAAAAAAAAAAAAAAAAAAAAAAAAAAAAAAAAAAAAAAAAAAAAAAAAAAAAAAAAAAAAGAAAGAAAATAAAGTCAATGGGGAGGATTGCAAAATTCAAGTTAAGGTGAGACTCTGACAATGAAATCTTAAGAATCAAGAAGAGATGGGAACAGCTGATCTATAAAATGATACAAGACACTGCTGACACTCACCACTGAAATAAGGCAAGCACTCATCATACTAGTTCAATATCCATCTTTGGCTCTATGCTGCATGCTCCATAAGGAGCTATATTGACAACAGTTATATCCCAAGCACCTGGCACATCAGAGCTGATCAGTAACTGTTTGCTGCGTGAGCGAATGTCCAGGAGAGATAACTGAAGTAATTTCATATTGTTTAATATAATCAATTGAATTATATTATGGCTCAAGAAGGACCAGAATGTGCAACAAGAAAGGGGGATGGTAGGCACAGCATATCTAGTAAAAGCAGAGTTTGAAGAAACAAAATGTATTGGCGACCAGGCGTGGTGGCTCACACCTGTAATCCCAGCACTTTGGGAGGCCAAGGTGGACGGATCATTTGAGGTCAGGAGTTCAAGACCAGCCTGGCCAACATGATGAAACTGCATCTCTACTGAAAATACAAAATTAGCTGGGTATGGTGGTGCACACCTGTAATCCCAGCTACTCGGGAGGCTCAGGTAGGAGAATCGCTTGAACCCAGGAGATGGAGGTTGCAGTGAGCTCAGATCGCACCACTACCTTCTAGCCTGGGTGACAAAGTGAGAGACTCTGTCACAAAAAAAAAAAAGAAAGAAAGAAAGAAAGGGGGGGGAAGAAAGAGAAAGAGAGAGAGAGAGAGAGAGAGAAAGAAAGAAAGAAAGAAGAAAGAAAGAAAGAGAGAGAGAGAGAGAGAAAGAAAGAAAGAAAGAAAGAAAGAAAGAAAGAAAGAAAGAAAAGAAAAGAAAAGAAAAGAAAAGAAAAGAAAAGAAAAGAAAAGAAAAGAAAAGAAAAGAAAAGAAATTTTTTGGTGTTTCCAAGGACCTAAGAATCCAGGACAGCAGGAAAAGTTCTATAATGGAGGGCATTAGGCCCTCAGGGTCCAATGACATTAGCCATTAAGATAATCCTATTCAATCCTTGCCCTGCGTCCATACTTACCAGCTACATCTTTTAGCTTCTCATACAGCTGTGCATAAAAGGAGAGTACACAGAAGTCAGCAAACACAAGCCCAAGTCTATCTGCCAACTACTTTTCTTGATACAAATTAATATAGTGGAATTTCACCTCCAATTGGAACCAGACCAGGTAAGTCAGCCCCCAATCATCTTTGATAGCCCTAATAATGCTAATCTAAACCCATGACACTGGAATCCATGACACTGAAACGTGATGATCAAAATATGGTCCCTGCTGTGGTGGACAGACTCATTAGGTACGCCTCCCTCCACCCCCACCATCCTTGTCTCTCAGTGTTCACACCTTGCATGGTCCTCTCCCTCTGAGTGTGGGTGGGACCTGTGACTTGCTTCTAACCAAGAGAACACAGCATCCAGAGACCAGCCAATTGACAGTCACCTGTGCTCAGTGGGCGGCTGGAGTCAGCTGGGGTTCTAATACCAAATTACAGAGGGTGTAATTCTGTTCACTGGAAATAGAATATTTATTTTATAATCTAAGTTTTAGGTCTAAATAGATTTCCAGACAGCCGTCTTGCTTGGTACATCTTAAAAGAATATTGAAGGATAATAACTTGAACAAATGTTGTTGTTGTTTTAATATATGTAACATTGGCTCTGTTCTGGCCAGTGGAAGCAAATTATACAATAAATCTCATTTGCAACAGGAAATAAAATCCCCAGAGACACCATTTTATCACATCAGACTGGTGAAAATCAAGTCTGATAAGATCAAGTGTTGACAAGAATATATATGGAACAACAGGAACACCAGATGGGAGTGTGAATTGACACTAACACTTTAGAAGGCAATGTTCAATATCTAGTAAAGCAGA